TATTTGGACGAATCATAACCGTCGATTATTCTTTCTAATTAAATTGATCTTAGAGTATAGGATTTAGAGAATTAAGACCTAAATTTTGATCTTTAAGGGTTAGAGTATAGTATCATGTCCGAAAGATTAGTCAATTCAAGTTCTGGATAACGTTTTCTTACTCAAGGTATGCGGTACCTCGAATTTCACTCGGAGTATAGATAACAAATGGATACGAAATTAAATAAATTTATATATAATAAATTCATTTTCGATATCATAAAATATATATGACTTGGATTATAAGAATACCCCACAGGTGGTGGTGCCTCCAAATAATTATGAGCAGAAGCATTCTACATCTATTACAAACATAGTATATCATTTGCCCACTTCTTAGCCTAATCAACATTTTTAAGTGTCAATTGTCAAAGAGGTCCATCTAGTTATTAGACCACTCATGTAACGAAGTAAAATTTTAAAGCAAATAAAATAAATTAGAATATAACGAACCTGATTGTTTTGATATTGGATTTCAATATCACTTTGTGCCTGTCGAGAAACCCGAGTCTTCTTCTTCTTATTCAATAGTCAATATAGTAGGCAAAGAAAATAACTCAACGTTTACACTTTGTGCCTGTCAGTATCTTTTTAGAGTGTCCTACTGTTGTTTTCATCATAATTGCTACTGCAATCGGATGGTCTTCACAATCGGAGTAAACATCCTTGGCAGTTTCAAACTGTGGAGTGTTATTGTGAATAAAACCCTATGAACTTGAGGATTTTCTCGCAACGACTTTGAAAAAGCTTCACTTGGATGATCATACATAGCATCACTCTCAATTGCAAGTGTATAAATTTCTCGAAAATCGTAATTCAAGGTGAAATACTATTTTCAACTGAGTTTTCAGAACTTCCAAAGGCTTGAAAAGAGCGTGAACTTCTAAAGACCCCGACTTTTGCATAGTTTGTCCATCTTGGTATTATATATTGCCCAGGGATTTCTTGTCCAAGACTTTCAAAGCATAAGCACATGAAATCCCTACATAGTTGAATTTCATGCAACTACATTCAACTATATGGGAAGCAGACACAAAGTATGCTATGTAGTTCTACCATCATACTTCACTTTATATTATGCTTCAACTTCATATTTGCTAATTTTCTTAATCGTGCACTCTCAAACTTTCACATATTCTTCTTCAAACATTTTAAAAACTTTAAGAGTGTAAATCTCATAGGCTTGTCGTAGACTCGTAGTATCTCAACATGCATCTGCTTTCAAAACTTGGCCTAACAGGCCCATTCGTGGGCTTCTCCCTATGGGTAACCACACCTGTCTTCATTGGGCTTCGCCATGCCCTTGCTTGAGCTTCACTCTTTGCAATATCCCCCAACATGAAGCATACTCAAAGTCAAAGTGGACCTTGTGCTCTGTAGTTCTATATCATACTTCACTTTATATTATGCTTCAACTTCGTATTTGCTAATCTTTTCAATCTTGAAATCCCAACTTTCACATATTCTTCTTCGAACATCTTCTAAACTTTAGGAGTGTAAATTTCATAGCCTGTCGCAGCATCTCAACATTTGCTTTTAAAACTTGCCTTGTGTTTCTCATTTTGAATTTCGCCAATAGTTCATCATACCTTTTATCTTCTAATAACCGAGTATAGATACCGAAGAAGTACATCACAATTTTGTGTTTTGTTAGTACTTCTTCAACACATTGTTTGTATCAACAATAAACATACGAAAACCATAAACCATAGCCCACTTATCTTTCTTCGAAAATATTTCATGCAACCACTCAATGTCTTCCAAACCATACCTTCCAAGCATGTTATTCCAAGTAGTGAACCATTCATCCTCATAATCCCACGCACATGAACCGAACTCACATGTAAATTCTTTTGATTTAAGTGCATGGCCTAAATGTGAGCATCATTCTGGTAAATATGCCAAACACATAAACGATGATGAGTTTGAGAAAATGCCTCTTGAATCGTTAAGGCCATGGCAGCTGACTGATCTGTTAGTATAGTATTGGGATGGTCTCAATCTATTGCACTAAAGAAAGCATCAAACACCGACTAAAAAATGTGATTGTTTGGTAATAAAGTAGTGATGCCCCAAAGATAGTTGTTTGCTTCAAATTATTGACTCCAACAAATGGTGCAAAGGGTCAACCATATTTGTTGGTTGTGTAAGTCTATCAAAACATATAGCATCTTCAAAGTGTTCATAATTAACCAACAATGGATTCACCATATTCCCAGAACACATTCAGTATAAGATAATCGGTCATCACATTGCACCGAATAGTTAAATGATGGATCCTCTAATTGTGTTCTTCTGAAATAATTCAAAATCGTACAAGGATCTCCTTTAATCATTTTAGCTCGTATCTGTGAAGAAACATAATTATATTAATCACTATCCAGAAATCCATTGAGTGCACTGCCACCACTTTGCACTGCCAGTAGATTGATTGTTTATTTAGCTGATAATCTAACACTCTCGGTATCATCGGCATTAGCTTTCTAACTATAATTAAGCTTTCTCTTCGATCTCAACTTGTGCTTCATTGAAGTTGCAGTAAGCATGATTATGATTTATAAGATTCATCAAATTTAACAAACCTCCTCCTCCCACTCTCTTTTTGTCTCCAGCAATTGATTTTGGTCCTTCATTCCGTCGACAAAGGTTCCCTATGGACATCAATGAGCAAACGTCTTTTTTGTTTTTGTTTTTTGTTTACAACATAACCTAATATACACTGTTGACATCAACCATATAGTCAAAATAAGCTTTGTGCTTCGATTTCTGAGTTTGATAAGGCCTCAATTGCAATGCCGGAACTCCAAGGAGCTATCTTAATGATACTGGTAATATTTACCATTAGATAATAATTAACCAAGATCTATAAACTTTGTTCTACGTATGTTTCTGGTCAAAGTTATGCATGTACCATTATTATTTACTTTTACTTTTGATGTCGATAGAGTCTTTCGTTGTCATTATGCATGTTTCTGAGTATTGAAATCATGTTGCCTTTATTATTCCATTAATCTTCTACTACTCGATCTATATGATGTTTGATTTTTGGTTGTGATGTTTAATTAGTTCCTAAAAACGTCTACAGGTCTTACATGAAATCAGGAACTTTAATTTTTGTTTAATCGTCAATGCAATCTGGTGGAATGGAAATTGGAATTCTGAATTGACAATGTCGAAAACCTTATACTAACTGCCAAGTGCCAAATACAAGATGGGCCGGATTGAGGCAAACCAGCCTACTGCATAATTGGGCCTCGTAGCCAATTTAAGTATCCACGTTATTTGGGTCTGCTACGAGCCCATTTCTCATTGGTTTCTACATTGATTGTTTTTTCCTGTTTTCTTCTCCGAAGTAGTAGTATAGCGATGGCTGATGACCTAGAGTGAGGTTATAGACTAAACTCACATGTTGGAGACGCAAACCATGAATTCCACGATACATGGATTTCTTGATAGACAATCTTTATTGATGAAATCAAAGGAGGTTGGTCACCTCGTTATAGGGTTGCACTCGCCTCATAGTTGTCATTCTTAGCTAGTAGGAGGTGGGGGTGGAACGTGCTAGATCACCATTATTGATCTACTAGACAACACAGTGAAGGAGACAAACCAAAGATTTGTCTTTGTGGTAATTGCATTTTTTGTGATCTACTAGACTAACGTTACCAATTAAAGTTCAAAATTAGATATCTTAAAATTACTTTTAAATTCGGACTTGACGTGTCAATTCGAATGAAATAATCCGAAGCTACTATAGGGGATTGGAGACAAAAGCATTGGAACCTGATGAGAGTCATAACGCTTCAAGATGATTAAGTGATTTGTCCGCCATAAAAAAACATACCTGATAATGTGATAGATGTGATTTTTTATTGTTTCAACTTTTTTTACCTCATTTTTTTGAGAATCGTAATGCTTCATGTTGATCGGGTGGTTTTTGCTACTTATTATTCAATATAATTAATAAACTATTTGTGTAACCTATTTTTAATCGATAGAAGAGGCTTGCTTTGTTGTTTGATCTAAACAAGATTACCGCATCTGGTTCCATAAGCAAATTATGAATATAAAATTCGAAAAGGTACACAATTGCTATTGGAAAAAGGAGAAATTTGTGAAAAAACTCATATTCCCAGCCATGATCAAAACAATAATTTTCAGAAAATCAGGATAAAGAAAATAAAATAGAGGAAAAGATATTACTAAGTTCTATTACTAAATAAATTCTACGGCCTGAATCCCCTTGTCCTTTTAGGCGCCAAAGGAAGATCCAATCCATTGCTTTGTAAACATATTTCAGACCAATTAGGATTTTTCAGAGTCGTTACTCGTTCTTTCTCCCTCTACAAACCCGCATAAAACCAAGTCCTTGAAGCAATCCACTACTCTTAAATGGAGTCAAGCTTTCTCGGGTACGAGGAGAAAGCTAAGATTCAACTAGAGACTATATGCAGGAAGAAGCAAAGATGGTGCTTTGTTTATGCTCACGTGATGAGAAATGGAGGACGATTGAAGCTGTAATAGTGATCATGGAGTTTCACTACTTCCAGACGAGCTTCTTTACAAAAAAATCTCAATCTCCTGATCACTACACGAATGAAAGAGACTTTGTTGTTTTCGACACGAAAGGAATAAAAAAACTCTTGTGACAATGATTAATAAAATCTCGAAAACTCGTAGGCTTTTAACATCACACATTTCATCACCATGGTATTGAAATCGCAGTCCCACCTCTTATTTGGAAGAAAAATGATAAGTTGTAATGAGAAAAAAAAACCGTTTAACTATAAATGAAGAATTCATAATAGTGAATTATTAGTGATTCCATATATAAAAAAGTAATTTGTTATATAGTTATTAAATAAAAATGATTCCAACTCAGTCAGAAATGAAAAACAACGGTTTCAAAAAGGATTCCCCGCACCCAACTAACTCATTTAATTATTTTACAAAAATCCAAATCCTTTCCCCTTCCCCTTCCCCTTTCCTCTCTTTCATAAATCCTTCCCTCTCCGACGAATTCGATTGCATGCCATTCTTCTGCCGCCATCAATCGCCACCGCCATGCCTACTACCGCCTCCGCTTCCACCACCTCCGGGCCCGACGGCGGTCCTTCTTCCCTCGTCGCTCGACTCTCCTCCAGTGACCCCGATGTCAAGCTGAAGGCCCTGCGGGAAGTCAAGAACCAAATAATAGGCAGCAAGACGAAAAAGCTCAGCTACATAAAGCTCGGCGCCGTCCCTCGCGTCGCGTCAATTCTCTCCGCCGCAATTGCCGACGGCGACTGCTTCCAGCCTGCTCCTGCCGCTTCTGTGCGGGGAATGCTCGGCTATTCCAGCAATGTCGTCGTCCAATCGGCGGCAGCTCTTGGCAGCTTCGCCTGCGGATTCGACGACGGCGTCCAGGCAGTTCTCGCTGCGGGCGCTCTGCCGCTTCTGGTTAGACTGCTCGATCATCCCGACGACAAAGTAACGTGCTTATCTGATTCTTATTCCTGTTTTTTTTTTTCCTTCTTCTATGAACACAAATTTGAGAAGGAGAAAAATAAAAATAGAGGTTGATACTGCAGACCTAACTTGCTATAAAGTGAAATGAACCACAATGCCAATTGAGGGGGGGAGAATTGGAATTCAAAGTTAGGTTCTTCAATCCTTTTGCTATGATTATTCAATGGGTGATAATCCATTGCTTTGGTCATTTGGTGTTTCAGGTAGTGGATGCTGGTGCTCGCTCCCTGAAAATGATCTACCAGTCTGAATTTGCTCCCAAATATGAAATCCTTGAACGTGGAAGCTTAGAATTCCTGGTTTCCTTACTGAATAGAGAGGGTGAAAACGTTACTGAACTAGGTGCTCATATCATAGCCCATTCTTGCAGGACGTTCGAAGAGCAGAAAGTTATGCTCGAGGCTGGGGTTCTGAAGAGGCTTGTCAGCCTCCTAGATGGGAGTGTAGGTCAGAGAGATGCTAGCTTAGGTTCTCTTGCTGCAGCTTTCAAAAATAACTCTGAAGTCATAAAGGAGTTTCTGGGACCTCATGGCGGGAAATCGTTCAATGCCATACTTAGGTTGACCGTGGATAGCAATTCCAAGACGAGGCTGCTCGCTTGCCAGTGCTTGATTGTCATTAGGGATGCTACAGATTGCTATATCCTGGAATTTGGGCTCAATAGGAAGTTGGTCAATACTCTCCTCGAGCTCCTTGATGATCCAGGTCAAGTTGGAGATGAGTCCGCGTTTGTATTGTCTAGTCTGGTCTTAGGGAAGGAAGATCTACATACGATAGCTCTTGAAGCTGATGCTATGGTTAAATTTCGTGATTGCATGGAGAAGGAAAATGTCAATCCTAGGCGTCTTCGAGGTGTATTGTTGGCCTTGGCTGATCTCTGCTCAAAGTTAGAAATCTGTAGATCGACATTCCTATCCATGCAGGTACAATGCATGATTAGAATCCAATTAGTTTTAATGTTTTGTCTTTTTCCTCTGTTATCTGTGCTAGTTTTGCCTGCCCTAAATCTATCTATTGAAGTTATATTTCCTGTATGTTCAATGCATCCAGCTGAGGTTGCATGCTGCCCAAATGATATTCATTTCTTTCCTTAAAAGTGTCCTCTTTAAGTTTAACCAGTTAATCTTGAAACATAATTTTATGTTTCTTAAGTTGCATTAGGGTGCTTGGTTAAACTTGACCTCCAAGCGATTCAACGTGTTTTTGCTTCATGCTAAGCTCAACCCGGCTAGTTTTACTTTGGTGAATAGTAGCCGTGTTTATAACATGGATATTGAGTTTGGCATGTCAGAGAACTAATCCGGATTGCAATAGAAGTATCTGATGTGTTGGCTCGTCATTATGAAGTGTATCAGTGCCAATCCCACTGTCCATAGCTAATATGGGTCTGATGTCTAGGTTATCCTGATAATTGATGTCTTTTCAGCTTGCTACCTGTACTAACTTTATGTCACTGGATTTATAGGTCTTGAAACCACTTATTGGTTTCCTAAACCATAAGGAGGAAGATATACGAATTGCAGCTTGCACCTGCTTAAAAAATGTTACTCGATCAATCAAGGTGTGCCATCTGCCCGCTAATTTTTATGATTCTTGACTTCAAGATCTATCATGCCTGTGTTTAGCTAATAGAATGCTTTTCAGAATTTGTGTGCAGGTTACTTTATGAAAAATGAAGCCCTCGTCACTGCTTTGGTTCTGTTGCTGATGGATGCTTCGGAGGAAGTCCAGGTAATATTATTCTCAAGTCCTTCTGGAACATAAATTACCTTTTAGTAATGCAAGCCCTTTGTAAGAACTCCAGGTTTTCTCTAAGCACCAGTCTCGGATCATTGTAGTTAGGCAGCGCCTTTGTTGTAGGGGAGAGAGGTTGAGGTTAGGGAGCACAATTTGTATTAGTTACTGAATAAAAACATTTGTGCCCTCTAAGAGATCCAGTATCGTTGATCAAATCCATCAATTTAAGGAAATCAATTGATCACATGGTTTCTGATGCTTCGTGTTATTATTTTCCATTTAAGCGGTACTAATTAGGTTATGACATGCTACAATTTGGTAAAAGCACACGTGGCTACTATTATTCCCAGTAATTTATTTTTTTGGTTTTCAGGTTGCAGCTCTTGGTGTTGTGAGCAATATTGTTGTTGATTTCACTACACAAAAGTCTATGTTTGTTGCACATGAAGGCATGCAACAGCTTTTTGGTTTATCAAAATCAATGGTTCCCGCGGTTAGGTCAAATGCCCTCTGGGCTTTAAGGAACATGACGTTCCTTGCGGATGACAAATGCAAAGAAGCAGTTTATTTAGGGATGACCCCGTCACTGATTGCAGATCTTATATGTGGTAAATTTAATGTTTTCAATTAGTTTTTTCAGCTGAAGCATGTGATTTGCGCACTTACTAAAAAATGAGATAAATCTACATTTTATTGCAGATGATGAGGTTTCTGTTCAGGAGCAAGCTTTGGCCCTTGTTCGCAATCTTGTTGATGGAAGTATTGAGTCAATTGAGCAAGTTTTTACCGATGATGGTATTATTTTAGATGCTGCCGGAAGCCAATTACAGTGTGGTCCAAATGCTGAAGTTTTGATACAGGTTTGAAAACTCCAACTATGATTTTCTTGGTTCCAATAATTATTATGTGCAACCAGAATTTATTAATTACTTTGATGAATATATATATATATATGGTTATGTCTTCGGTGCACTCACTTTTTTGGGTGCATTCAATGCACCCGCCTCATAATCGGCATTCTGAGCTGGCGATTCATGTGAAAACGATGTCCAAGAACCACATGAATTTGTACAAAATTCATTCAATATTCACTTTAATTTGAATGATTCAGGGTTTAGAAATTTAGGGTTAGGGTTAGGGTTTATAATTTGGGATTTTGAGTTGAGATTCAAAATTGAAGGTTAATAGGTTAGGTAATGGGTTGATTAGTTGTGATTATGTGTTATATCATCATATTAGACTAATGCAACCCATTAAATTTCAAAATTTGATGTATTATGACCACTTTTAGAGGTGGGTGCACTGAATGCACCAAAAAAAGTGAGTGCACCGAAGTAGCCACCATATATATATATATATATATGGTGGCTACTTCGGTGCACTCACTTTTTTTGGTGCACTCAGCGCACCCATCTCTAAAAGTGTCCATAATACATCAAATTTTGAACTTTAATGAGTACTCTCAATCTAATATGATGATATGTCATAGAATCATAACAAATCAATCTATTACTCTAACCCTTTAACCTTCAATTTTGAATCCCAGTGCAAAATCCCAAACTGTAAACCTAAACCCTAAACTCCTAAATCCTAAATCTTACAAATTAAAGTAAATTTTAAATGATTTTTTTTCTTCAAATTCACATGCTTCTTGTTCATAATATCATAAGCAACAATTGATACCGTTTTGACATGAATCGCATGCTCAGAATGATGATTATGAGGCGGGTGCACTGAGTGCACCCAAAAAAGTGGGTGCGCCGAATACGCCACCATATATAATAAACAGAGAGGGGAATATATTGGTACAAACAAAAGGGAAAGGTGAAGATATTAATTACTTGGCTGTGTCATTTGTGGCCGTCTTGCTATCTGTGGCTGTCTTGCTATCTGTATACAATAGTGTCAGAAGAAAATATTTGCTAGTGATGACAATCAATTATATGGCATTGTCCAGATTTTCGCATGCTAACCGAAGAAAGATGGATGCTTTACATCTTTGCTTGCCAGTGAATATTATCCTGTTTGTCAATTCACTTGGCAATTGGACATGGCCACATGCTGAAAATTTTAGCTATTGCTGTAGGTTCAGGGTAAACACCCTTGATCATGGTTTAATTTTATTTAGAGCGTACTTTGGTTTAGCCATGGTAACTTTGAGTTCTGAAGCATCTTAAACTTCCGGTATACTATACGTTTGCATGCATTCCTGAAGGACATTGTACTTCTAGATAAACTGCTGATGCAGTAGACCTGTATGCTTGATTAGTGTTTGGATAGAACCGTCCTTCATGTCTTGTGCATTTTTATATGTAGGTTCAGATTTCACAAACATCATTTCATATTTCTTGACCATTAGTTTCAGTTTTTCCGAGAAAAATGTTCCAACATCCAAGTTCTTATTGTATTCATACTCTCATTTGGTTAAAAACTTCAAAATTACTTTCCTGCCACTTTTTTCTATTTATATAATTTTCGTTTTATTTAATGATTTTCAATCCCACGGGTTAACGACATTCTAATCTTGTAGGGAATGTACGTGCTCGGAAACATTGCCTGTGGAAATGAGATTCATAAGGAAGCAGTTATGTGCCTGCTTTTCCCACTAGTGGGGAGGGGACCCGAGCCTTTCTTTGTCAACTTCTTGCTGAGCACTGACAGTAGATTGCGCCTTGCTACTGTGTGGGTCCTTATAAATCTCACCTTGCCATCTCCTGGAGCATTGAATCGGCAACAAAGACTACAGAAAGAAGGGGTGCTGTCCATAGTAAGGAGTATGGTCAATGATCCTTGCTTGGATGTGAAGGTAACCGAAAATTCATATATAACGATTAACGATTACTTTAGATTTGGGGTTTTCTCTAAATGTGTCAAAGATCTTGCTAATGGAAGCCTCTTTCTTTTCTTCTTTCTTCTTTCTTTTCTGCAGATTAGAGTAAAAACATTGCTCACCCAGACTGAGCTTGGTGACTTTTGACATCAGTTGTAGAGGATTAACCTCTTAAACAACTAGATCATAGAGATGAGTGGAGACAGACATTTGTTTTTTTACATCTTAAACTTAGCCGTAGTAATATCTCCAGCTTTCTTCCGGGCAACGTATCATGCTTCAGCCAAGGTTTGTAGTTTCAAGCTACTGCTGTAGTTTCATGGTGCTGAATGAACTATAGAATCTTTATTAAGTACAGAAAATTGGAACATTTCATGGTCTGGACTAGTTGAAGTTTTCTTTCTTGTGTGTTTTTGTGGATTGCCCACATTTCGGATGAATAAAACACAATGGCTTATGTGGTCATCATTATCAACCATTTGGTATGGTGACCCCTAACACCTCGAAAATGGTTCATAAAAACTTTCCACACTTACTGACGTAAGCAAGCCCAAAAATATTTACTCTCTGTTGGAAATTTGTCATGGTTAGTTACATGTTTACGCAAACTGTATAGTTGTTCTCTCTAGATAATTTGTGATGAAGTGAAAAAAGATCAGATTCATGCTTTGATCTTCTCTTTTCGTCGTGACGTTCTAGCTGAAGAACTATGTGCATGATCCCGTTTCTTGCCTTTTGTAGGTGCAGAGTTTAGAGTATCCTGTTTTCACAATTACAGCAGTGTGAGAGGAGATGCCTTTGTAACATTGTGGGATGCAGTTCAACTGTCAAGAGTGTGTTCCCTTGAACATGAAATTGTGCATACAAATGGCTGTATCATTATTCGTTTGACTATCTCAGAGGACTCCTGTTGTTGTATTTTGTACATTAACTGCCATCAGTTTGCATGGCACTGTAAAATGCTTGCTTAGAGAGTTTATGCAAAACTTCAGGTTTTCTCTTCGGTATTGTCTCTACTAGCTGCTGCATATGCTGTTCTCTAGTTGGCATTATTTTGAGAATCTCATTGTTGTTTATAATACCGGGTTTAATGCGTTGGAGCCGAGTATCAAATCGATAACTTTCATTAGCAAGCAAAATCAGAGGTTAATGTTGATATATGCTATATGTAAAGCAGGGCCAGGGTATTTATTGCTGGTCTCTTTCCTTTTACAGCTCTGCAGCAGAAGAAATTGCCATATCTTTGCTTGGAAAGAAAGGTAACCATCTTACCATTGATAGATGCTTGACTTGTACCATTATATACACAAAAGGTGCTTACATTATACATGCTACAATAATATCTTTTTTCTTTTTCTTTTTTGTGACAGTTTCTTTTTGTCTTGGATCATATATAAAGATCAACCAAGGAAACCAATAAGTTCCATTGACGAGTCTGAATTCCCTGAGCTACAAAGTGACAAAGACGAAGCAAGCAAAATTCCTCTGGAAATCTTTCTTTTCTGGTGTGGATCTCTTCCAGCAGCAACTTCTCGATTTAGCCAATCTTCTCCGTGTTGGTATCATCCGATGGCCATATCACAGTCTCCAGGAGCCGTTCACGCATTAGCGCCAAGTTCTCGTCCGAAATCTCTTGGTACATCTCCGCATGGTTGCATTTCTGCATTCACAATTACCATATTACTCACACAGTTAATCACATTGTTTACTATGACTCGCTTGCATAATGTAAGCTAAACACATTTCCTTATTACCTTAATCCATTTTCCATACAGGTGAAGCCTCGTCACCATTACTCTCTCAGCAAGGTCCTGCCTCTCCTGTATTTCACCCAACAATTCATTCAAACTTCTTTCAGCAATTTACTCCATTAGGTAATTCATTCAAACTTCTAATATAAAGTGCTTACTTTGGCTAGAGTTCGGATGAAATGCTTCCCAGTTCCAGGCTTGTTCATGACCACAAAACTACAAACCAAATAGGTAAAAGAATAAGGAGACTATATTATTTCTATGTTCCAGTTGAAAACTTGAAAGATTCTTGGTGCAATTTCGCAGGCTTACTCGTAAAACCAACGGTAATGAGTTGGATTCATCTCATACAGCTGGTTCATGACCGTCCTCACTGCCTTGTACGTGAAGTAGTTCATTATTTGCTGCAACAACAACAATATCAAGAGACGACCCATCAAACAAAAGGTGAAAAAGATTCAACCTTTCTACCCCACTTGTGCTTTCTTCCAATGCCTCATACCGTTTTAACGTCATTGAAGGTGTCTTCATACTGGCCACCGAGCTCTGCGACGATAACCAGCCTCCGTTGGTCCTTCCTCTGCTGCTGCTTCCTCGCCATACCTTTGCTTCTGCTGCAAATCCCGGAGATGGCAAAAGAGCTCCCTAGTTCCACCGACCTTCCGGCCAGCTGCTGCTTCTTCTTCATGGAAGAGCTCCTCGGAATCACCAAATCAGGGAGGGAATCTAACACTACCGACGAACCCACCATCGGCAAAGCTGCTGCTGCTCCCCCAACCATTCTCTTGGATCCAGAGGTTCTCAGAAAACCCAGATCAAAGGTTGCTACTTTTCTACTGGATTCGGAACAGATCAATAAGGTTGGAAAGGTCGATGAAGATACTAAAAAGGGAGGAAGGAATCTAAGTGGAGATTGCAGAATCTGGGAACATGGAGGGATGGGCGCAATTAAAGGCGTGGAATTGAAGTTAGGAGAGAGGGAAACAGAGGGTAAGAAGCAGAGAGGGTCAAGAAAGGGGGAATGTGCTGGCGAGAGGAGGCGTGAGACGACTCCTCACCAAGCAAAATTTCTGAGGTGGAGAATTCTCCAACTTGGCCCCAGAAGAAACTTTGGCGAAAAAATCAGGAGGGAAAGGTGAAGCACACGACAGAATCTAGTAAGTAGCGGAAATGTGTTTTTTCTTTCAGCGATGCTGGTTATTAGGTACCTGGACGGTTTTGTTGGTGGGAAAAAGGCTTGGCTGTGGGTTGCCACTTGGCTTTTCCTGGCTTTGAAATTTCCCAACTATGAACGTGTTCAATTTGCATCTTTGAACATGAGCATTTAGTTTGTCAGCGGAAACTGCAAGTCCTGGATTTTGGGTTTGGATGGGAATGTAGGATGTAGCGTGCTTGGAATGCTCATGTCATTACGTTGAGCAAGCCATGCAAGACATCTAACCACTGGGCTCAGGGGTCAAGATGTTCGGGGTTGTGGTTCGGGGTTAGACTCTTGGAGCGAGTCGTCGAGAGTCGCGACCCTAGTCACCTGGTTTTGAGGCCGTCATGACATAGTCGATCAAGACCAAGAGTCACGACTTAATGCTTGTCTGGTGGGACTTGGAGTCGGATTGAGGTTATAAGATGATGCTCGAGACCTTCGAATCTCGATGCTTGTTTCACTTGGTCATGCGTGTGGGTTGACATAGATCGATTGAGAGTTGACAAGAGCCTTGAACAACCTTTTAGTAAGGCATGATTTAACACTTCTAGAGGCATGGTACAATTTATACCATGACTATCAATGAGTCTTTTAGCGTAATTCCGAGCTTCTACACAGATGATGTTTTCTTGGAGTACTGATACATTGGTTATCGATGATTTTTTTTTACATATATATACATCTTTATCGTTGCAAGTTACAATTAGATATTGTGTGTAGCCTCTCACACCAGCACACTAGAAATCTCGTGGTTTTCATTTTTCTATTAATATAAATGTAAGCATCGCTATCACTTAATTAGTAACTGAACATACTAAAAAGTTATCAATAGAATCATACACTAATTCATATCTAACATTTGGACAAAGGTAAACCTTGTATTGAGATCAACTTTTATCATTCATATTTCTGCTCCCTATGATTGAACCAAATTTATACATGACATCACTATAGTTTGAGATAATTTTGTCTATAGACCAAAATTTACCATTCCCTAATACCAAAATTAATCTATGTATCAAACGCCGCCGTTCGAGTAGCTTCCATGACGCCTAACCCTCCACAATAAAACGGCGCCGTACGATGCTATTTTCGGGCCACAAAACCAAATAGCGCGAACGGTGAACGTGCCTTCAAGTTTCAGCGTCGAACCTCGAAACCCAGAAGGAAAGCGAAGCGCGAAGTCGGAGCTCCGGCGAAAAAGTTGCAGTCTTGACGACACCCAATAGTCGCCGCCGCCCAACGATGTTTTACAGAGGGTACGCTCGTTTCCCGTTTCAGGATAACTCAATTCTTCCTAATTTTTCTTCCTGGGTTCTTCGCCGCTCCACCGCGCTACCTCTCTATGCATATCGTCTGTTTGATTGGTGATCGTTGCCCGTATTTTTTATTTTGGGATTCTAGGGTTTCGAATTTTATCGATCAAATTGGGGTGATGTTAGGTTATCTTGAGCTGTTAAACTTAGGTCTCGTCGTAGTTCTTAGTTACTTCCTTCCTTCTCAATTTAGCGCCACTTGTTCTTGTCTGTTCATGTTAGATGGGTAGGGATCACACAGACGCCTACCAAGATTCCATTGTCATTGTGGCTTCCAACCAGTGGCTGATTTAGTATTCATTGTGAAATACACAGTAAGGGTTAACGTGATAGCAACTCCATATTAGATGGATAGTTTAGAGCTTTGGATTGCATGTGCTTGAATTGTATGGCCTGAGGCACTAAATTTCGATGCTATGTACTAAGTGGGCATTTTTTTTTTTATTGAGCATGACAGGTATGGCGATGGTTCAGGTAGCCGTGAAATGGGTGCAAAGCGGCAGCGGGTAGTTGACCAGGGCCCTTCATTCTTTGGGGCTACTCCAGCTGGGACGAGCTTCATGTACAACCAACCAACGTATGCCTATGTTGGCCAACCTCCACCTTTCCCTGTTGTGCGACTCCGTGGTCTGCCCTTTGATTGCACGGACAGTGATGTGGCCGAGTTCTTCCGAGGTCTAGACATCATAGATATCCTCTTTGTTCACAAGGGCGGTAATAAGTTCAGTGGCGAGGCGTTCTGTGTGCTGGGGTACCCTCTTCAGGTCGATTTCGCTCTCCAAAAGAACAGGCAAAACATGGGGAGGAGATATGTTGAGGTGTTTAGAAGCACGAGACAGGACTACTACAAGGCAATAGCAGGTGAGGTGCTAACCAACAATTCATTTCGAGTCTGCAACTATCCTAACATTATGTATTACTCTTAACGCTCAATGTTGTCTCTCTAATAGGTGAAGTATCGGAGTATCGCAGTGTTAGTTCACCAAGGCGAAGCTATGCACGAGCGAGATCATACGACGAGGGGAAGGAATCAGCGGAGCACACAGGGATGTTGCGGCTGAGGGGGCTGCCATTCTCAGCAGGGAAGGACGACATCATGGAGTTCTTCAAGGGCTATGGAGCATTGTCAGAGGGATCGGTCTACATACTAACAAATTCAGAAGGGAGACCCAATGGGGAGGCGTTTGTCGAGTTTGAGAGTGCCGAGGATTCAAAGGCCGCCATGGAGAAGGATAGGATGACACTGGGAAGTCGGTACATTGAGCTGTTCCCTTCATCGGTGGAGGAGTTGAAAGAAGCTGCGTCCAGAGGAAGGTGACTCATTGCACGATTGTCATTCTCCTTTTTCTCGAGAAGATGCATTTTTTCTGTTAAAGCTTAGGTTGATGATTGAGAATGAATGAAGTTGAATCAGATTCTTATTTTAGACTTAAAAGAGTGACGAGGTTATCCTTTTGTGCCATCTTGTGCCTGTATATGTTGTGGAGCTCTCTTCTGCAGTATTAGTATGGATAAACATTACATGCTCTGTTTTTTCTCGCCTTTCACAACCCATCAGAAGTTCGTCGTTCTTTGGTCGGCTGTTGCATCTCTGTTTTTAACTCTAGCAACCATAAGTCATATTACGAGATATCCATTGACAAGATATCCCCGTCTTTGTTACGAGAATCAAGGTAATTCAAAGAAGACAATTTCGCTCCTATGTGGATGCAAGCAAACGCAGGCCAGTCGCCCAATCTCATAATTGCAAACCACGCAATAACGTTGTCTCCTTCAACAATACCTCATGCAATTTCCTCCAAGTATACTCGTTATCTTCTTCCAGTCTCCAAACACTCAGAGCATTCCTCGAACAACCGAAAGGTTCCGATTCGAGTAGAACCATATGCAAAGCGCCTTGCAAAACTGCAAAATGTTGATACACAGCCTGTCTCCGTGGCATTGGGGGTACGAACACGACAAGGAGGGATATCAAGGTGGAAAGGATTAAACACCTCAAGTGCTGGAGGAGTTTCGAACCCGTTTATCGCATACCCCGAGTTGAAAAAAAAAAACAATTTCTCATAGCACGAAACCACTACTCTTTCGAACACGCGCTGTTCTTGAGAGCAGGAGTCTCCTTGGTCCACTCACTCGACTCGCGGAACAAAACTCGTCTAGTCCTTCGTCGACCCTACTCGTCCTCGTTCGACACCTCAATACTAATACTAACCCGAAAACGATATGAAGAGTAATCGAATGTCGTTGCTCGCCCGTCGACTGTCTTCTAGATCAAGACTAGTACATTGAACGGGTTCACAAACTAACCTCGGAGTGAACCTTATGCATGCAAGCTCTATTTATACTTGCGGCTGGCTGGTGTTTAGGGTTAGGATTTAGGTTCGACTTTAGAGAACGCCATCGTTTTATGTCTTTTTTCATGTCATCTTGAATTGCAGTTTGTCATAATCTTCGAATTGACGAGACAATCGTACTACTACAAAAACAACTTGGTTAGCTCGATAACTCAATCGTGACGTGATGGTAAAAATTACTATTGTGTGTTCTTCAAATGGAAGCAATGAAATCTATCTTAGCTAGTTATAATCGTCCAATTGCATATACAAGCTTGCTACCAATTTCACTTTTAATTGTTGTTAATATATGCGGTATAATATCACATGAATTATGTGGTGTCATGCTGACACGGGTGTGGTCAAATTTTTTTCTTATCGATTAAGATGATTGGGGTTTGTGATTTACTGGGTGGATCTCGTTTAGTTATTTTTTAGTTAGTAAAACATGAAGAGTTGATAACAAATTAACAAACATAACTTTCAATTATTTTTTTAACAATCCACCAATTGTTGGTCTTTTTTTTTATTATATCTGAGTGATATTAATGGAAGAAAATAGTTAAACTTACAATTCTACCCAGGACCCCTAAAAGACTCTAAAGAAGCCACCTCAAAAAATCAAAAGATTCTACCTCTAAACGAGACAAAAGCAGTGCTTTAAGCGCCACTCTATGGGCAGCACTGATGGCGGATCTAGGTACCGCCCTAAACTCTATACAAACAAACAAAGAACTAAGGATCTGACGACACTCTCGTAACACCGGACCACCAATCAAGTCTTCTATGACGCCTTGACGAACTTGTTTGACGACCACTTCGGAATCACCTTCGACTATCACGCGGGTCAAGGATCTTGAGGCTACGATGGAGATAGCATCTCTAAAGGCTAGAAGCTCTGCCAGGAAAGGATTGACTATTCCTTGAAGCTGCAGCCCAAACACCAACACCACATGCCCGTCTGACCCACAGATAACAAGTCCAGACGAACACCCGGTGGCACAAACAGCAGCATCGAAGATGAGCTTCAAAAAGTCCTCTGGCGGAGGGACCCAAGAGGTGGCAGGATGGTTTGGGAGTATAGCTGCAGGGTGGAGGAGGAAGGAGAAGATAGGAGACTATCACGCGGGACCAATTGTTCGTCGTTGCAGAGAACATTTGTAAATGATCATGGTGGCCATGCAAAACGAAGTATCTAGTTCTGAAAACGGCCATGCAAAGAGAGAAAGACCAAAGAAAAGTAGAATCTCTATAGAGGGGAAACTTGCATCATCTTGCTTAGCAAACGAAACTAGTACGTCTTTCCACATATTCATAGGATGTTTGAGAGACGTAGAAAAAAAAAGCTGAGTAAAAACCCTAACAAGCTGAAGTGATTACCTGTTTACCTCATTGAGATATGTTAGTACTATTCTTGATCGTAAGAAAATAATCGTAGATTTCGCAGTATGTACCTCGCAATTCCTCATACTTGGGAATCGGAGTAGGCCAGCAAGAGATCTTAGGCTGGAACACGTTCCAAGAAAAACGACCATCTGTCTCGAAGAACTCCACCTCTCTCGTTCCCGTCAAATCCATTGACAAGACAAATTTCTTTTCAAAAAGATAATCGAGATAATTCAAGAAGACGATTTCGGGCCTCCGTGGGTGCAAATAAACCCAAAACAATCGGTCAAGCTCGTAGTTGCGCCCGTGCACCAACATCGTCTCCTTCAACAAAACCTCGTGCAGTTTCCTCCAAGAACATCCATCGTCGTCGTCTTCTTCCAGTCTCCAAACAGTCAAAGCATTCCTCGAATAGTGGGAAATTTTCGACTCCAATAGAACCATATGCAGAGCACCTTGTAAAACCGAAATCCGATACCTGGCCCCTACCGGTAAGGCGATGGAGGTATAAACACGACGAGGATGTGTATGATCAAGACGGAAAGGATCAAACTCATCGAGCACTAGAGATCTGAATGCAACAGCGCCATCACCACGAGATCTGAATGCGCCATCATTAAGGTGGAAAAATAACTTCCCACCGCAGGAAACCATACTTTTCAACATATTGTTCTCCAGAATAAGAGTCTCCTCGGTCCATTCACCCGACTCGAAACAAAACACGTATAGTCTTTCATCCCCACTCGGTTCACACCTCAACACTACCCGAAAACGATATGAAGAATAATCAAACGCCGCTCCACCGTCTCCTAAATCAAGACTAGTAGAATGAACGGGTTCACATACTAACCTTGCAGCGGAAATCAAAATCCCGCTTGAACTCTCGGGAACTAAAGGAAGGGCGACCCATTGCTTCGTAAACGGATTGCAGACGAAGTAGAATCTCTCCAATCCTTCACTTTCGCGAAACCTGCACACCGAAAACCCGCACAAGAGCAAGTCTTGGAAGGAATCGAAGATTGTGAAATACGGCGCAACTTTGTCGGGAACGGGGAGGAAGCTGAGGGATTGGTGGCGAAATATGGACGATGATGACGTGACGAGCAACGGGGGTTCTACTTTCTCGTTGATGCTCTTGTGGTAGGAGGCGAAGCGGCGGCTGAAGGTGATGGGATCGGAGATCAAAGAGCGCCACCGCCGGCAGACGAGCTTGGAGCGGCAGGCGGGTTTAGGGTTTGGGAAGCTGCGGATGAGAATCTCGACGAGGAGGTCGTCACCCAGTTTGTTGTTGATCGTCGTCATTGTAGGAGGAGTAGGTGGCGGCAGAAGGGTTTGTTTTTGCATGACTTAAAAACCCTAGTGCATGCATGCATGCCCTAGGATTTATGATATTCCTATCCATGTCATCCGAAATTGCAGTTGGAGTAGGATTTGTGTAAAATCTACATTGGCAAGGCAATGAAATCTATGTAAAGCCCAAGGTATGACGATTGACTATGCAAACTTAAAGTCAATGGATTGTTTTTCGTTTGAGGGGACTTGTTAGAGAGTGATATAAAATCTAGTTTAACCTTCTTCAAATAACTGGAGTTATTGGTAGAACCACGCTCATAATTATACTTTATATGGTGATGTTGTATTCTTCATCAACACCTTGTGCAATTTCCTCCAAAATTGAACTCAATGTTTTCTTCATGTCTCCAAACACTCAAATCATGCATGTATCAGAACAACCAAAACATTCCTAATTCACATAGAATTATGTACAAAACTCCTTGTGGAAATTGAAATACGATAAATAGTTAATGTCAGGATGACTATAGAAGTGGAAACATAAATATGATGTACAAGATAGAAATGACTAATCACATCAAGTAGGGGTATTCATAGTGTTTACCATTGTAACCATTTTAATCAGTAGTATTAAGATAATTTGATTTTATTAATTCGTTTGGCTTGATTAAAGCTTGTTTGATTTAGTTAATTTAGTTTGGTTTCAGACACTTCTAACCAATCAAATCAATTAATCATATATCTAATATATTATATGCTCATACTTCATAACCGCTCAGAAGTGAAGTGTTCTTCCCTTTTGGACCCATCAAAAAATAAAACTCAATATTATTCACATACTATATTTGTTCTTGTTGAGTGTAGACAACACCTAATTTTGATAAATCTGATACATTATGTTAGCTGAAAACTCGAAAGGGGACGACTCTTCCACCCTTGCTAGGATACTAAAACAATATAATTCACACAGACACACAAATTCATTGATCTCATACCATTCACATGTATTTTTGTTAGGAGGCTATTAATATTGACTCTAAGCTAATTGTATCAGTTGCATGTATTTATGTTAAGAATTAACTATGTGTTGATTGATATATTTTATTAATTATATAAATTATGAATTGATGCATTAAGAAGATAATTTTTCGTATAATGATAATGCCATGTTATATTGGTTAACTCAGTTAACCAATTAACTAGATCGATTAAAATTTAGTTTGGTTAATTTAATTTTTATATTAGCTTGCTCAGTTGGATTATGATAATACATTTCGTATTTAATAAAATTTAGACTTATTTAATTTGATAATTTATCCTAATAACCATTTCAACATCTGTGGATTATTGTTCACACCGGTCCCTCAACTATGCAAAGATAACAAACCAGTCCCGTTCTATTTTCTTAATGAAAAAAAAGTTGGAAAGAAAACAATTTGAACTCCTGTGGGCAATCAGCCCCGAGGGCGACGCAGTGAGGCGAGCATCTGATTTGAGCTTCCGATCAATGGCGATTCGGATTCTCGGAACACGGTCCAATCACCATTATATCACAGCAGCTTCAAAATTGCTTCCAGTCGAAGGAGGTCTCCGTTTCCTCAGCACGAATCCCGGTTCCTGGAATCAAACTGACTACAGGAAACAGATTTCTCTCGCCAATCTCCTCCAGAGGTACGGTTTCCCTCCTTCTCAGCTCCAGAATTTCCTTAGTAGAAACCGGTTCGTCCTGAATTGGAACTTGCAAGACGTTGAGAAGTCTCTGGGCATCCTCTTGTCTCTCAAAATCCCCCGCAAAGCTCTCGTTTCTTTGGTTAGTGACTGCCCAGGGATTCTGGATTTGCAGTTTTTGAAGAAATGGGAAATGGGGTTTTTGAACTGCAGGGAAGTAGCCGTTATTAACCCTTCGGTGATCAGGACTGTGTTGGAGCTTTCGAGGAAGTTTAGTCTTGACCCTGGTGGTTTTACGAGCAGGTTAAGGGTTTTGAAGGGGTTAGGGTTTAGTGAAGGTACAATCAGGAGGACCTTGGAGGGTTCCCCGCGGGTGATTATGATGAATGAAAGTGAAATTTATAAAAGGGTTGAGTTTCTCACGAAGATGGGGATTGGTAATGATGGGGTGGATTGGGTTCTATACTCATTTCCGGAGGTACTGGGTTTCGGAGTTGAGAACAGGCTAATGCCATTACTCAATGAGTTTGAGCGACTGGGTTTCAACCAAGAACTAGTAAGGAAGGAGATTCTTGCCGAACCTCGAATTTTGGGGATGGAAGTAGGAGAACTATCGAAGTGTTTGGATTTGCTGCGGAGTTTAAAATGCAGAGAACCGATTAAGCTGAAGATCTTCGGTAATGGAGAACTCAGAGCTGGCTTTGATGCGAAGCTTCGAATCGATTGCTTATGCAGACATGGTTTGACTCATCGAGAAGCATTCAAAGTCCTGTGGAAAGAGCCACGGGTGATTGCTTATGATTTGGAGGAGACTGATAAGAGAATTCATTACTTAGTGAACACAATGGGATTCAACGCCCGTTGCTTGGTCGAGGTTCCCGAGTTTTTAGGTGTGAGTTTTGAGAAGCAGATTGTTCCACGGTACAATGTGATTCAGTATTTGCATGCAAAAGGTGGACTTGGGGATGAGGTAGGACTAAAAGATATCATAAAGCCGAGCAGGCTTAGGTTCTACAATTTCTATGTGAAGCCATACCCAGAGTGTGAAAAGTTATATGGAAGGTTTTCTGGAGATGTTGTCAAAGGTTCAAAAAGCCAACATCCAGTTGGAATGTGGAAGCTTTTCAAATCACCAAGCTACTCGGATTCAAAAGAAGATGTAACGAATATGAGGTTGTTTATGGACTCTTTGAGTTAGTCCAAATTGACTAATCCCTAACCAACTTGGAAGTCTTGGACTTGGTTTCCTATTCTCCTAGAATGAAGAAGCACCATTTTGAACCCCACAGTTTTCTGCATCTTTTCAACGGGGCAATTTGTCGGACTGTCTGCAAGATAGACGGTGTCCTAATTCCAGGAATGTGGCTGACAGAACTTTTACTTTCTAGGCCATCCATGGCCTCAGTTATGTCCACCGCACACAACAAATTAGGTAAGATAGAGGATTTAAGTTTCTTGGTTTTGCCTCTCAGTGAAACTGTGACTAAATGCTGATGTCTCGTCTTATGATGCAGGAATCAGGATGCAGAGTGTTCACAAACTGTGACTAAATGCTGGGATTTTTACTTGAATTCTTCATTGGCTAGGTTATCACTAGTTAAAGGCGTGGACAATTATTCTACATCTCAGACCATTCTGCTCTATTGTGTCCTGCTTCTTTCATGCTGATACTGCATGCCTCAAGCCCAAAGAATTGCTGAACTTTGTCAGAATTGTACCAGGAACCATTATAACCTGTGAAATGTGCTGGATCTGGCAAGTTGCTGACACTGGAGAAATGGAGACCTCGGTAATCTACTTCGAACGCAGTCATACGATTGTTAGTTTCTGATATGTAATCAGTAAAACTTCTGCGTCTGCTTGATCAATTGGGGCATCAATGTATTTTCCTTCATTAATCAGAAGAAAATTTGTTAGGCTTTGCCAGACTTACCTCTCATTTTACCCTTGCTCTATGTTATGCCTTTTGGTTGGTGTCGGTTTCCTAACTGTTTGAAAAATCAGTATGCATCTCAAACACTGGTTTACCAAAAGTCATTGCAAGAACAATGTCCATTCCAGAAATGATGGAACCTGTTAGTGTCCCTAACATAACAATATTTTCCCTCCCCTCAACAGTAGAGACACAGACTTCATAAATGAATGACAATCCCCACAAATCCTGAGATACTTCAGGATCATGATTGGTATCTCCTCAGGCAAGCTCACGAGCCTGAAACAAACAGCGAGTATGAACCTTGTCCTTGATCTCAACCCAACTCTTAATGACCACACCCTGACAAAACCGAAATATAAGGGACTTCATCTGGCTCCAGACCGGTCTGCTGCATCTTCTCGAACAGAACCATCACCTCCAGGGACTTCGATAGCTGCTTACTGCGTTAATTAATGGATTTCGCCATTGACGGCTCTCCTATTGCACTCTCTAGATATGTACCTGCTCTCAAAAGGGTTTAATTTAAGCTTGGAGAGATTGCCAATTCAGTGTTGAAAACAGAAACACCATTTTTCTTCTTTTGCATTCAACGGATAAGACACAACTTAACCATTTACTATTGCTATGAGATCGTACAAACTGTGAAGTCTTGGTAAATATAAACAGAAGAGGTGCAGCAGGCAAGCAGACATGCCTGCACAAGTCAACCCTCTGGGGATGAAGAAAAAGGTGGCCAAGTAATGGTGACCCTATATATATATAAAAAAAACAGCAACTACTTTGATATGGATACTAGGCTGCAGTATTCTGGTCAACTGTTGACTCTGTTCTGGATCCTTGTAGTTGCCTCCTCACTAGTGCTGTGTAGACTCCATTCTTGCTGAGTAGCTCTTCATGTCCGCCGCTCTCAACGATCTGTCCACCAGAAACTACTGCAACAGTGTCGGCACTTTGGACTGTTGATAGCCTGTGAGCTATGACTAGGACAGTTCTTCCGGTCATCAGAGAATCCATTGCATCCTGCAAGAAATGGGAAACCAAGTTCACCATTTTGCTTCAGGAAAAACTAGGAACCTAGGGACTGTTAGGTAATTGTGAGTCTGCATTTGAATCTTGGTACCTGGACTAGGTATTCACTCTCAGCATCCAGAGCACTTGTGGCTTCATCGAGGAGAAGAATCCTGGGGTTCATAAGTAGGGCTCTGGCAATTGCTATTCTTTGTTTCTGGCCTCCAGACAGCCTTATCCCACGCTCTCCTACATGAGTTTTGTACTTGTCGGGGAAGTTCGACACAAACTCATGTGCATTGGCCATTTTCTGCAATTTTCGGGATTCATGTTAATCCTGCTGTCAGAATATCATTGCGGCAGGAACAAAAGAGAGATAGAGAGACTTACAGCTGCATTTTCTATTTCAGAGCTGCTTATGTTTCCGTCACAGCCATAGGCTATGTTTTCCTCTATTGAACAATTGAAAAGAACAGGCTCTTGGCTCACTATACTGATCTGTACCAGCAATAAAGAAGTTTGTTTATACTTGAGAAAGTTCAGAAGTAATCGAACTTCAAGCACAAAGTAGCTGTATCATTTGAATACTTCATATAGAGAAAAATGGCGTGATGCTATACATCCAAGTTGAATCTACCTTTTTGTGAAGATGTTCGTGGGCTATTTCAACCAGAGGAACTCCATTTATGAGAATCTTGCCCTTTGTTGGATCATAGAACCTTTCGATCAAGTTTGCTATTGTGGTCTGCAGCAAGGAAAACAACAACTCTTTAGACTTCAGTTAATTTTACAGCATAAGCAATGTGACGATAATGAGAAACAGCACAGTAACTTCAAAGTCCAGAAAGAAACTTACTTTCCCTCCGCCACTAGGTCCCACAAGAGCAACTTTTGAGCCAGGCTGAAGTTTCAATGATATTCCCTGAAGTTCAGAGTTTTATGAAGGGTTTAGAATCAGGCAAGGAAGATGCACATTGATCAACTGAACTGTAGTTCAAAGAATCCAATTACCTTGAGTACCATATCGCTAGGACGGGATGGATATGCAAACCAGACATCATTTAACTCCACTTCACCAACTTGATCACTGCAGTAGAAAGCATGCATTTATAAGTTCTACAACACTACCAGCAGGTAAACAAGGAGTTGGAGCAGAGTTTCATTTTGGAGAATAATCTCATGAAATAAGGATGAACCACTCAATTGCATGACCCAGGAAGAAGAGAACCATTGCGAACTCTAATGATCGGCAAATTTTATCTAAATACAAAAACATATCCTGCTCATCTAGTCTTTCCTTCACACTGATTCTTATCTTTTCTTTTCTTTTCTTTTCTTTTCTTTTCTTTTCTTTTCTTTTCAAAAACGGAGGTTTATGGTTAGAGCAATAAATTGGTACTCTAGTTCATGTTGATATTTAAGACATTCAGACAAACCCAAAGGGGTGGATATTTGATGACTAACCCTAAAGGACATTTGTCTCCTGATTTTGGCATGGTTGAGGTCCGATCCAGAAGCTGGAAAACCCTCCTACTCGAACCAGCCGCTTTCATTGCCACTGTGTACAAACTTGATAATCCTGATATAGAATATCCAACTACAAGTGGAAAACAAAATCAATACAAGTCGTAGGAACTTCCATTTTCTTAATTGACTATTACTGTTAACCTATTTTAATAGGCTCTGGAAATCACCTGTCAAGCTGTATAGAAGGAATGAGGTAAGAGCACCAGCAGTCATATAGCCTTTGATAGTTAAATTAGCTCCATATATCACCACAACAATAACTGATAGTGTTTCTGCTGCATTCATCCCTCCACTGAAGAGCCCAACAACTTTCTGCAGCACCAAATGACCAAGATAAAATTATGCCAGCAAGAAACGTCAACAAAAAGTAGGACTGGTGGAAGGAGGATAGCAAAGATGGTACTACATTAGAATAATAAGGAACTCACAGCTTGTTTAAGTCCAAGGTTCAGTGTCACGTCAACTTTCTCACAGTAACGTGACTCCTCGTAAGCTTCTTGTGCAAATGATCTAACTGTCCTTATGGCACCAAAAGATTCCTGACCACACAAGTCATAAGAGATACATATAACTGGTATAGTTTACTTATATGATGGCAGACAAGTACATTTTCCCATGATTGAGTAGTAGTTTGATAAAATATCACTCCTTTAGATTTCTTTTCACCTTTCCAACTCTTTCACTGCCGATAGATGAAAGAAATTAGTAAGTAACAATAGCTCTCAGCACTTACCTCAACAATTGAAGCAGCAGCTGCCGCTGCAGCTTGAGTCTTGTGAGAAAGTTCACGCAGGAAACTGCCAAATTTTCTTACCGCCATAGAAATAACAGGTACAACAACCAAAGCCAACACTAAGCACAGATGAAGACAAGTTGTACATCGTGAGCAAGACTGTAGTCGTAAAGAGTTGAAGTGATATGGTGGCAGTGGTCAGAGATCTCACAGGTTAACTTCCAGGATGTTGAGAACATAAAGAAAAGACCAATAACTGCAGTCGACACGTTCCTCAGTGCCTCACTAAGACTAGCAGTTGCAGCATTCTTTATGATTTGTGTATCTTCGGATAAGCGGCTCAGTAGTTCCCCAGTTCTAGTAACATCAAAGAAGGCTATTTCCTGAAAAGCTTGTCATTTCAATGTCAGAAGTAACTATGATGAAGAAAGCAAAAAGCTATCCACGGGTACGTTCAGTCAACTAAGTACTGTTACTGAGAGCCATAAGACATTAGTTCCTACCAATTTCAGCAATGATACCTGGTTAATAAGGTGACTGAATAAGCTCTTTCTCAAACGTGCAACCACCCGTTCACTAGTAGAAGAAAACAACCATGCCCGAAGAGCTGTGCAGACAGAGCTACATGGAACAAAACTTAATTTAACAACCATAAATTTTAACTCTTGCGCAGGTCAGAAATTATACGAGCAGTACATTAAACAATACAGGTAATAAAGCCTTTACCGGGTTTCTTTAGTGTTACAAACATATCGAACGGTCAAGTACAGTAATGGAGTGCTTGTTTGCAGATTCATTGTGTGATCTTATATTTAGCTTCTTCTCAGAACGATAGGAAATTATGGTTAACTCTGAACTTGAGAGACAACCATATGAATTAAACCTTCAGCTGGCCTAAAAATTACAGAAAGCGCATAACAAAAGAAATCCATACCCTACAACAATGATCACAAAGATTTCTAGTATGGTATTGTTCACAGCATTTAGAGCTTCGTTCTTCTCTTGAGGTGTGCCCAAATCTCCTGAAACGATGTCTACTATCTTGCCACCATACTTGGGCTGGAGAGTCACCAAAACAAACTTATTCACAACAAAGAAACGTCTCATCCGAAAAGCAAACGGTTGCTATTAACTAGATGATAGATGGTAAAACCAGATTTCATACTCACAATGAGAATGCCTGATGTGGCGGCAATTAGGAGAGCTATTGTAGCAAGAATCATCTTCCCTGCATCAGGTTTTACCTAATAGACGACTCCCCATTAGGAAAATTTATATTTCTATTCTTAAGCTGTTTCTACATTGACAACTAGCAAATGGTGGACACTTACAAGTGCAAGAACTCGCCCGAAGCTGACATTTGCGGCCTGAAGATTCACATGGAAGATCAGCAGAGCAGGTCCATTCATAATAACCATGTAATGGAGGATTTGTAAGAGAACATTCATCTTACCTGTACAGCATCTCCATGCTCCAGGTCTGACAATCGATCGTTCCCCTCAGGATCATTCCTCTTTCGTCCCTCCTTCAGCCAAAAAAAAAAAACATACATCAGACGAGGAGCTAAAACTAGAAGAAGAAGCAGAGACGTTCCAACACGCGATTATTCATTCATCTCGTGAACGATTACAGTTGACCATCATCTGTATCAAAAGATCAGAACTTTGGCAAATGCATATATTGAAAACCAAAACCCATTTCATCGAACACCTGATGAGCACAAAAAAAAGTGATCCAAAATGTTCACTCCAGAAACCATGGGGTGGCAATGGGTAAGAAAGCTGAATTGCAAAAGCTTCAATCCAGTATTCACCCCGGAAACCACATACTATATATTAAAGGAAGCAACAATTTCAAAAACTCCGAGCGCAAGCAAACCTCAGGAAGCTGAATCAAACGTCAAAATGACAAAGTGAGACTTACTCCGCGAGATAACAGAGGCGTCCTTTCACAACCGCCATGGCCGCCAACGGCTTGCATCCTTTAAACTCAAACTTGTGGCCGAAGATGGAAGCGAAAAGCACAACAACAACAACAACAACAACGCCCACAAACGCAACAAGTATGTTTGGGTTTCTTTCTTAGTAAGAGTTGGAGGCTCCAATCCTTAATATAGGCATGGAAGAGGAAGAAGTTAGATGCAGGAACGGTTTTCCTTTGGGTCGTTCGCGATGAGAATGGGACTTCGGTCTTTGGCGCCATTACTTGAGAGTTGAGATGGTAGTGTGGAAGAAAGTGTGTGGAAAATGAGGGAGTCTTTCTTTTCGCATTTTTTTTTTTTTTTGGTAGAATTCTTTTCGCATTTTAATTACGTTCTTTTCTCTTCTTTCCGAGGAGAAGAATGCAGAGTCGCAGAGATATTATTATTGTATATAATGATGACGTTGCTTGCTATCGTCAGCACGTACGTGGCATGAAAATTGAAAGTCAAATTCTGGGCCGTTGGATTCAATTGTCTCGGGGCCAAAAGCCCAAATACTCCAATCAGGTCCGGGCTTAATAACGGGATTTTCATTTTTCGCACAAATACACAATAATATATAATTACATGTTAGTTGACAGTTGTAAATTGTAACCTACCGTTTTATACAATAACAATACAGGGAACTCCTATGGTAACTTTAAGTAAGGTAACTTGAATTTTTTTACCTGCTATAGCAGGTTCCACAGGTTGCATTACGTAAAATACAACAGGTATTACGTAATAGTTACGTAACGTATGGTAACCTTACGTAACGGTTGTAAAGCACCATTACGTAAGCCTTACGTAATAGACGGTTATTTTACGTAATGAATACTAGCATTGCATTACGTAAAGTGTAAAGTCATCACGTAAGCCTTACGTAATGCTGCTGATTAAACTATTACGTAAGAAATAACTGTCGTATGTAAGCCTTACGGGGACAGGTTACGGTGATTACTACAAAGTAGTAATCACCGTGGTTACTAAGGGTAAATTGGGTATGGAAAAATAAATTATATTAATTAATTTTTTAATAAATTACATTTAAGGTAGTTACAAAAATCTATTAATTAAAAATCTCTCTTTCTCTCACTTTAGTAATCTCCAGCCAGATTTCCTTTCCATATTTTTCTCAATCTTTCTGCAAAAAAAAAAAAAACGAAATCAGTACCAATCCATTAGACAAACACTACCACTTTGAAAAATATCAATACCATTGCAGAAATAAATCTATACCATTACACGAAAACTACCATTGCAGAAATAAATTTATACCATTACACGAAAACTACCATTCAAGAAATAAAAATACTACCATTTCACAAAACATCAATACCATTCAAGAAATAAAAACACTACCATTTCACAAAACATCAATACCATTGCAGATTTAATCACTACCAATGCGACAAAATCAATACCAATGTAACAAAATCAATACCAATGCGACAAAATCAATACCAATGCGACAAAAATAATACCAATGCGACAAAAACTATACCAATACGACAATAACACTACCACTACGAAAAAAATGACTACCATTTAAAAAAAATCACTACTGAAAAAAAATGACTACCATTTTAGAAAAAAAAAACATACCATTCCTCCTCGTTCTCCTACTGCCTCATCAACCGCGATTCCACCTCTTTCGCAACCCTAGACTTCAATTCCGCCTTCCCCGCCGACTCCGTGACGGCGAATTTGATGAAGAGCAGGAAGGTCGATACGTTCTACTACGTCGCCCTGAGCGGGATGAGCGTCGGCGGAGAGCTGCTCTCGATTCCGGCCTCGGTCTTCGAGCTCGACGGGAGGGTGAGGGAGGCGGACGGAGGTGGGGGGAGGTGGATGAGGTGGGCGGAGGTGGAAAAATAAATTGGGTATGGGGGGAGAGAGTGGAAGAGAGGGGAGGGCGGGCGGAGGTGGGGGGAGGGGATGAGGTGGGCGGAGGTGGGGTGGGAGGTGAGGTGGGCAGAGGGAGGGTGAGGGCGGCGGGAGGGTGAGGGAGGCGGCGGGAGGTGGGAGGGGTGGAGAGGGTAGAGGTAGGGTTGGAAAAGGTAGGTTATAAATATAGGTAATAATCTGGTGTGATAATATTTTGATTCCCAAACTATCCTTAATTTAATTTTGACCGTCATTTTAAAAAAAGGAAAAAATAGAGCTAATGAAGGGTTTAGATATAGGTAGCCACAATGGTTACTAAAAAACTAGTATCCACCCTAACGCATTCCAGCCTTACGTAATGGAAGGTCCCTTTACGTAACGAGTATTGGTGTCGCGTTACGTAAAGAGCTAAGTCATTACGGAAGCCTTACGTAACGCTTCCATTTTAACTGTTACGTAAGAAATAACTATCATTCTGTAACCTTTACGTAATGGATGTGTATTTTACGTAACAGTTGTGAAGGTCGTTACGGAAGTCTTACGTAATGGAAGGTCCCTTTACGTAATGACTATTGGTGTCGCGTTACGTAAAGAGCTAAGTCATTACGGAAGCCTTACGTAACGCTTCCATTTTAACTGTTACGTAAGAAATAACTATCATTTCGTAACCTTTACGTAATGGACGTGTATTTTACGTAACAGTTGTAAAAAGTCGTTACGGAAGTCTTACGTAATGGAAGGTCCCTTTACGTAATGACTATTGGTGTCGTGTTACGTAAAGAGCTAAGTCATTACGGAAGCCTTACGTAACGCTTCCATTTTAACTGTTACGTAAGAAATAACTATCATTCCGTAACCTTTACGTAATGGATGTGTATTTTTCGTAACAGTTGTAAAAAGTCGTTACGGAAGTCTTACGTAATGGAAGGTCCCTTTACGTAATGAGTACTAACTGCGTGTCACGTAAAAAGCTAAATCATTACAGAAGTGTTACACAACGTTTTCTATCTAACTATTGCGTACAAAAATAACACAAACATTGCTCTATCCTAGTGGACAAAATGTTAATCATTTCGTAGTTAATGTCGCATGTCGCAGGTTCAATTCCTAATAGTGTTACTTTTTACCTTTTATACATTTTCTTAACTTAGTTTTATGAAGTTAATTTAACAATTTAGCCTCACTCTTTATTATACATTTTAGTTTGAATTATAATTTTGCCAAGCAAATTTAATGAGTTAACTTAATTTTTTTTTTTTGGAAAAAAAAATTTGTGGTTATGTTCCTGTTACGTACTGTGAATTTAGCTTGAATGGTTGATATTATGATATTCTCTATTTAAATCTAAGGTGCCAGTGATTGTAAACTTAGAATAAGCAAAGTCGGAAACTATTTCTTTCATCTTCAGAAGTCCTGTTGAGTTTAATAACGTGATTTCTTATTTTCATTGTCATTAGCAATGACTTGGTTCTATTATAGCAATATGGTGTATTTTTAATTTATCTAGTTGATTGGTACATCCAACCGATATGATGTAATTTTACCAACATTATTTACTATCTTCGTCTCGCTATCTTAGTTGGTTGTATATTTTTCATGAACATGATACATGTGTATAACGTATATATCATTTGAACCTACTTGGTTTTATCGTCTTTAACTATTAATGGTTAACAAATGAACGTACAAAAACAAATTGATTGAGCGAAAGACATATTTGAGCTTGATGTGTGGGATTGACCAGTTCGAGTGTTTTATGTCTAAACGAGTGAGTTGGTCGATTTTGGATTGTGGTAAGTGATTGTAAACTTAGAGCAAGCGAAGTCGGAAACTATTTCTTGCATTGATTAGAAGTCACGGGATCTCACTGACCAGATCACGAGTCAGCATCTTGGGGCGAAGCCCCGGGTTAGAAGCTGGGGGTGCATTGTTCCAACCATGTATGCATGGCCTAATCTATTTTGAGTTACAAGTCAAACCGGTTTATATCTTTGATCTGGTTTGACAAGTGGAATAGTACGACCGGTGGTACAATAATGTTTTGTCGGTTCATGCCAATTTTTAAAAATGTGAAATGATTAATATCCGAACTATTTAATCATATACAAAACATATTTGTAGACAATTCACTTACAATCCAATCAATACCATCAACTTTTAACTATTAAATTCAAAACACGAATAATAAATTAACTTGTTTATTAAATAAATTCATGAAAACGATTTTTTTCTTAGAATTTATAAGTCGATTATTCCGGTCATACCAGTGGTGTCACGTCGATTTCATTAGATGCACAGATTGAACCAGGTTCAATCGGCCGCATCGTTTTGGTGTGAGGGGATTTAGAAAAGTAAAAAAGAAATTATTGCTGCCGTTTTGTTGTACCTATCAACCTTTTCAACTGACTTTTCAGTTCAATCATCTCTGCTCTAACATCCTGTTTGAAAAATAAACAAAATGACACAAACTGCTAAGATGAAAATTACATAAACAAATAGTCAGATGAAAATCCAACCTCAATTGTATAACAGCTTGCAGGATCTCTTCCAAATCCCACCTACATACATAGATATATCAAATGTAAAAAGATAAATGCATGATACCGAATCTTATTCAACAATAATAAAAGAACATTTTGGTCTAGTATTTACCTGGATGCTATCAACCCCACCTAACCGATAAACATTTTTAACAACCTTCGAAATGGAGTTGTCATCCCAAACTCGTATGCGCGGTAATGAACTTGAGTCACGAGCAAAGTTATGCAATTGCACATGGTCCAAGTAAAAAATCTACATGCAATGTGGCGTTAATTCATATTCTATGAATAATATCTATATTATACGACATTAAAGTTTAAACAACAAATTTGTACTTACCTCCAGTAATAACATGCATCCTGTCACAGATTGTTCTCTTGATGAAGAGTCTTCTGGTTTGTTTTGATAGTCTTTTATACCTTCTAAAAGACCATCATAGACGAACTTTACCCAATTCAAGTTTCCCACAACATTGATGTTCGTTAAAATGTTTAAATAACCATCGTAGACGGTCTCAAAAGTCTACACATTACATATAAAAGAAATTTCCCTGTGAACTATTCACCTTCCGTGAGATCTTTCACCAAATCTGTTTTTAAACTGAAGCATTTTATTTGTCCAGTACCCAAATTAAATCTTACCCTCACTCCGCCATCACACTCACCTAACTGGGTTTCCACATCCATACCTTGAGCAGGTAATCCCAGTATGGTGACGACATTATCTACACTTAGAGACAATCGATTACCGCGCACATTCAGTTCACTAGTTGTCACATTGAATCTCATCATAAGGTCCTCCAAAAGATTCAACTTCAATTTATGCTTCTTCAAGTGCAAGAGTGCACCAAATCCAATTTCTTCAATGGCCCTCTTTTTTCCATCACATAAACTGTCGATGAGCTCACAAAATTGGTGTACGCCACAACGGCTACTCAAATATACCTATGTCAATCAATGCCAACCAATATTCAAATAAACAAATTTCCTATGAAATTAGAAATCAAGCAAATAAACTAATTTTATACATAATATCAAAACAAAATCACCAAACTCAAAAGCTTAACCGTGAGTACAGTAGTCTTAAAAAGACCACTAGTTTTTAATGGATTACCTTTTTCTTTCTTTGTTGGTTTTCATCATTAATTTCGGAAGAGACTCCTTCGTCGATCTTACTCATCTTTGAACTGTACATAACAGAAATTAAATTTAAACTTTAATAAAACAAGTACGATGATGAGTAACAGCTCAGAAAAGGTTGGGTTACGTTTCATATTGAACATAAAGCTTGCAAATCCCCTTCATGCTTACGTATAACTTGCAAAAGCTTTTTAGTTTCATTATTATAGTGACGATCCAAGTAAAAAGTAATATCAGTAGAATTAACAGCAAAGGTTGGTTAATTGCAAACATAATACCTGTCCTAATTGCAAACATGACGGCGGAATCAGAGCAGTGCGACGCGGAAGGGCGAACTCCGCTGTCCGTAGTTGCTGGTCGCTGCTAGATAAAACGAAGGCCGGATCAGAGCAGCGACGCGGCGATGTTGGAGGAGACGCGGCGATTTCGGAGAAGACGCGGCGACTTGTGCTGGTGAAGAGGAAGAGGACTGGCGGTGGTGATGATGTCGACGACGAGGGATTCTGGGTAAACGGATCAGAGGTGATCGCAGAGCGAGTTGTCGATGGCGGAGGTCAGCGATGCGGCCGGATCAGGACTGGAATTTAGTGCGGCCGGAGTCGATGGTGATGTGCGGCTGGGGATGACGAACTCCGCTGGGGAGTTGATGTAAGCGCACGCCGGGAGGGAGCCTAGCCTGTCGATTGCCGGCAAGGATACATACGTACAGCTACGACGACGGCCGAAACGAAGATGAAGCTTGAGATTATTTAGACTCGGGACTGCAGATTAAGCAATAATTAGGAGGAACAAAACCCTACCGCGTTGGTGACGAAAACAATAAAACTAATGAATAAGTGAGATGACCGGCAGCCCCGGTGACAAGTATTACGGATGTTTTTATGTTTTCTAATCCGAGGGTTTAAGTTTATTTTAGTATAATCTAACGGTGTAAATCTATATAAGTTACCTAACTTGAAATTATACCCCAGTTACCGTAGGAGATCCCATATAATATATTTGTTTCTATATGTTTTGAGAATAAGAATTTTCTGATAATTCCTTACAAAAGTTGTTATACACTTTCGTAGGAGTCGCAGTTGCATTTTCATAGAGGTCATAGACTTATACTATCCTAGGGTAGGTTTGGTAGGCAGTAACAATTTGAACCCGTCATCGTCATGCGAGTATTATTCGATCTGATACAGTGGCGGAGGGAGGTGAGGAATAAGACCCCACTTGGCAAAAAATTGGGCAACAATACCCTTTAGAGACGTATGGTTTAGTACAATCCTTCAAGTTTAGGACCCCACACTTGCACGTATCGAGAGGTGTTCAAAGAGAGCTAGTTTGGTGTGCCCATGGCGTTTTTGTGACAGAGTTAGTTGTTGAATTTCCCATAATCGAGAGGTGTTCAAATATCTCCAATCAAAGTACTTGGCGAGAGTAGTTCCAAACTTTTTTTTTTTGTAGTTTACTACTTACATCCATCCCAAACAAAACGTAAGAGAAAATGTGTCCTAATTTACCTATCGAAATATGATTTTATATGTGTTCCTTCGAAGACCTTTAATAAAATCGCCATGATACACAAAAACATGTACTTGATGATGTAGAACAAATAAAGGGAAAACTTGTTGCGGATAGCAAGTGGCAAAAATCATAGTTTGTTTTTAGTACATGTAGAGTGTGAATAAAGTAAAAGTAACCAACCCAATTTTAGTGCTCATGGTAATTCCAACACATGTGGCAAAAATCGAAATTCAATTTCAAGTGAACTAATATTTATCCACCATTTCCATTTTACATATTTTCCAAGCTTCCCTGTGGTTGCACTAGAGGTGGCAAATGGATTGGATTGGTGGATCCATTGATCAAATGGATTGGATCTAATGGATTGGTGGATTCATGGATTGGATCAAGTGGATTGGTGGATTATCCATGAATCCAAATGACATTCTCAACCAAGGACCAATATGTAAAATGCAAAAGGTTTAGGTACTAAAATGTCACAATGAAAAATTTTAGGTACCAAAATGTAATTTTCCAATGATATTTTTCGTATAAAAAAATAAAATTTTAGGTACCAAAATGTAAAAAATAAAAATTATAGGTACTAAACCGTAATTTGCCAATGATCCATGGATCCAATCCATGAATCCACCAATCCAATTGGATTTGGATCAAATGGATTGGATTAGGTGGATATTTTTAATGGATTGATGGATTGGATTGAAATTGCCACCTCTAGGTTGCACCATTGCATAGCCTTGATCGAGTGCAAGAACAACGCCTGCCAATTGATCACATCCTTCTAAAAAAAAAAAGGAAATTCAAACATAGAAGCTAGCATAGAAAAGAAAGTGAAAACTCTAATAACAAGCAAGAAGTAATTAATTACCATTTACATCCGGATCCATTCCTTTTGCTTTGCCTGAAGCAAATAGTTGTAGCTTTCATCGTACCCACCTCGCAATTCCTCGTACCTCGGAATCAAAGTAGGCCAGCAAGACACCTTAGGTTGGAACGCCTTCCAGCCACGACGATATTCGTCAACAAACTCTACCTCTCCGGTCCCCGTCAAATCGTACGACAAGATGGACACACTCTCGCGATCACCAACCTCGTCGAAATACAGGTAGACGATCTCGGGCCTCTGCGGATGCAGACCGACTCTGAAACACCGCTCGAGCTCATAATTAGACGATACAACAGCCTCCTTCAACATCACGACCTCGTGCAGTTTCCGCCAGGACTCACCGCCTTCTTCCAGTCTCCAAACCGTCAACGCGTTCCTCGAACAACCTTTGTGCTCCAGTTCCAGCAGGACCACGTGCAGAACACCTTGCGAGACCAGAATCCGCAGTATAGCCGGATCCGGAAAGACCAAAGAACCGTACTGATCGGTAGTACGCGTACGATGCGCGTCGAGAGTGAACGGACTCACCAAAAAGAGCGTTAGAAAGCTGAAATTCACGTCGTAACGAGGTACTCTGTCGATTCGTGTGAATTCGTAAAAAATCCTCCCTCTGCACGGTTTTATAATTTCATCCCCGAGGGGACGATCGAGAGCCTTACTGGTCCACTCTCCCGACTCGGAACAAAACACGTCCGCTCTCATTTCTCTGTGTTTTTGTAGTTGTAGATACATGCATACCACTCGAAAGCGATACTCGAAATAATTATGAGATTGAAGACCACCACGATCCCCTCCTCCTAGATCAAGAGTGATAGAGTTGACGGGTTCGCAAGCTAGCCAAGCGACGAACGTATCCGTCCCACCAGATGGCCTCTCGGGGGCCAGAGGAAGGGCGACCCATTGCTTCGTAAACGGATTGCAGACCAAGTAAAATCTCCCCAACAATCCTCTTGCTTTGTCGATTCCGTCGCCCCAAAACCCGCATAAAAGCAAGTCGTTGAAGGAATCCCAGACTCTGAAATGCGGCCCGAGTTGGTCGGGCACGGGGAGGAAGCTGAGGGAAGGGTAGTGGTGGCGGAAGGTCGTTGAGGGGGGAGATGGCGTGACGATGCTTCGTTTGAGGTCTTGTGGTGGGCGACGAAGCGGCGGTTGAAGATGACGGGATGGGCGATGAGAGAGCGCCACCGCTTGCAGACGAGCTTGGAGCGGCAGGCGGGTTTAGGGTTTGGGAAGCTGCGGATGAGGATTTCGACGAGGAGGTCGTCGCCCAGTTTGTTGATCGCCGTCATGGTGCGAGGAGGAGGAGATTAGGGTTTGGTTGAGTACCAACCGATTCCGACGACGTTAAGGCGAAGGAGGAGATCAGAGCGCTAATGCTATATATAATGTTGGTTTGCCGGTGTCCTAGTCCGATGAGGATTTAGAAAAACGTCAATATTTTCTAAGAAATTGGCTGGCGTGAAGAAAGATCAAGTGCAAATAATCAAATACTACTAGCGGATCCACATGATATGAATTAAGTGAGAGGTGTCTAATTGCTACAATCTTATTAATTTGTAATAAATTCATTATAAATGTTAGTTAACTTGCTTAATATCCAGTTAGAGGATTGCTTTTGATGTTAACTCACAATCCAATTGCACCTCCCGTCACTCACACAACTTATCCAGAAGAAGGATGTGGTTGGATAACTGATAACATTGTACCAACTCACTAGTAAGCGAATAAGTCAATTTGATACTCAAATCCACTAACCTACTCCTAGCTAGTAGTCCAAGATATCCTTGATCCCAAGCACATGGAACAAAACGATGGGTGGTTGCGCAAAAATCTCATGATACAAGACAGTCCACTATGATCAGTAGACATGCTTCCTTCATCCAGAGTTACTCCCCTCATTAATTTATCAAACGATTGATATTGGTCTCGAAATTCATATTCAAGGTGATAGCGCCATGTTTTAGAAACCCTACCGTTAAAGTCAGTCGGATCTGAAAATACCGGATACAGATTCTAAATTGTGGGTGATTTTAGCGGTGCAAATAGGTTCAACCACAGTTCTACCACAATTTTAATATGAGAATACCCTATATCACTAAGTCGGTAAAACTTCTTGTACGGTTTCACAATCGTTGGCGATACGCCCGACAACCATGTGGACATATATACAACCGCAACTCATACATGGTGGTTTTTCTTAATAAATGTGGTGAAATCTTTGCTCATTATAACAGTAAATAACATGCATATGCACTTAGGGGAAAAATCCCAAAATACATATGTTTTTAAAAAAAATTCCCAAAATACACACGTTATAAAAAAAATTCCCAAAATACACACGTTATAAAAAAAATTCCCAAAATACACATGTTTGGGCATCACCGCTGTTGTCAACCGCAGTGAATGAATTCACCGGGGCAGACCAAAGCGGTGAATGCATCACCGCGGTTGATGGCCGCGGTGAATGCATCACCGCGGTTGATGGCCGCGGTGAATGCATCACCGCGGTTGATGGCCGCGGTGAATGCCTGACGTAACACTGAAACTTCAAACAAACGTAACTTTGCGCTCGGTTATCCGATTGTAGCGAATTGTTTTTTGATTCCATATAACTTTTCAAGATCTTTCAATCTGAAACAAGACTTCATCCCCAAAAAAAATCATTTGCTACCCCAAACGAGCAATTTTTCGATTTTAACAAACTTTGGAAGATCATAACTTTGTGCTCCACAATCCGAATGTCATGAAACATTTTTTGATTTTGCATAACTTTTGAAGTACTACAACTTTTATTATAACCATAATTTTGGAAAGTATGTGGATTGTTGAAAAGTAAAGGCAAAGTTATTCCCAAAATCCCGTACACCCAAAAATACTTCTTTTTTAAAAAATTATTTCCTAGTAAAAGTTGTAGTTCTTAAAAAGTTATGCACAATCAAAAAAAACTTTACGACGTTCAGATTGAGGAGCTAAAAGTTATGTCCTTCCAAAGTTTGGAAAAATCAAAAAATTGCTCGTTCGGGGTTACAAACGACATTTTTTTTAGATGAAGTCTTGTTTCAGATTGAAAGATCTTGAAAAGTTATATGGAATCAAAAAAAAATTCACTACAATCGGATAACCGAGCGCAAAGTTACGTTTGTTTGAAGTTTCAGAGTTAAGTCGGGCCTTCACCGCGGCCGTCAACCGCGGTGATGCATTCACTGCGGTTGACAACAGCAGTGATGCCCAAACATGCGTATTTTGGGAATTTTTTTTATAACGTGTGTATTTTGGGAATTTTTTTTAAAAACATGTATATTTTTGGAATTCATCCCTTACTTAGTTGAATTTATCCATATAAATTGCATACACCTAGCAAGCTAGGTATTTGACTTTTGCCACTGCAACATCATCGATATTCTCCTCCTTCCAATGCAAAATCCAAACTCAAAAAAATGGCGCCTCCTCTTTAACTGATTCATTCTTCTAGCTTAGAATACAACGAACGTGAGGGGGGAGCATTAAAGAATGTGAAACAGAGCATCCCAATAATATTTTTCACACATAACATGACAAAAACAAATTGCAATTAGCTAGCTAGGGCTATAAAAACTAATTAATTAAGATAGATTAAATTTTTTAGTTTAGTGCATGAAAGTTTGAAATGAATGAAATTGTGGATTAACGAGGCAGCCTCCACGTGGGGATTCCCTTTTCTAGGATCCCCTGCTACTGCTAGACATAATCTGATTCTCTAACCCACAATATAACAGATTAACAGAGACATTAATGGATGGTTAATTAAACGCGAAGCCTTGTCATTAGCAGGCGGGGATACTAGTTTAAACTAAACCCTGTAATTATTTAGCTAGCCACAAATCGTTCTTCGTGTCCATATTAGTAACGTAATTAATCTATTGTTCTTTGTAATGTCTAGGAGGAGCAAAGCAAACCCTGGTGGCTGAGATCTAGGACCAATATTGCCGTGTGTCACACATGCAATGTATCTATGGATAGGTGGCTAGATAGAAGACAAATTAGAGGGGGGCAAAATCTTGTTGGTTGATCACAATATAGAGTTGTTTGTTTGGTTGTTGTTTTGCGGCAAATTAAACTTGAGAATTAATTAAGTACTAAACAAGATAAAGAGAGTTTGGTTTGTCAATCCGGTTTAGCTTGTTGGATCGATCGAGCAAGTGGGTTGAGTGTTAATGACCCGAACGCTTTAGTTCAATTTAATAAAAAATATATAATTGGGTGGTTATGTACTAAGTAAATTTTAGTGATTAAGCATCTTAAGTATATCCTTGATCATTGAGGTCAATATGCAAGGTTGTCAATCCAGTTTAGCTCGTTGATCTGGTCGAGCAAGTGGGTTGAGGTCTAATGGTCTCTGATTGTTTTAGCCTGATTTAGCTTGGATATATGAAGAATTCACTTTATTGTTCATACATTTATAAATTATATAAATGATCATATAACATATGGATAATAACATACACCATTATATCAAAATAGCATTTACTACTTTGGATCCAACATATAGTAAAAATTCAAACACGATCATATTATATCAACATTCAAATATTCAACTTAGAATTGCAAAGGTGAGGTTAGGCGAATGAAAAACACAAAAAAGAGTTGCAATTCGCAAACCAAAGAGAAAAACACACGATGTTGTGTGACCTCAGGAACCTTGTTGCGGGTTGACCCACAGGTGTGTGGCTCCCATTTTCCTCACCAGGTCCTGATCAATCCAGGGCAACCTATGAGTCGGGCTGCGACCTGCGGGTAGACAACCTTGTTAATATGCAAAGTTTTGGTTTGTTATGAAGAGGGGTAATTGGAGGAGAGATGTCTCTTGTATAATCTAGGTAGACGAGGTACCTAAACCAAGTGAAAGTTAAAAATTGTATGTCAAATGGTAACTAATTAATTAAATGGATTGGGATGTAATAATTTGTTTTGAAAAAAAAAATCCAATACTATAAGATTCATAATTACATATGAAATCTTTCGTATTCTATACATACAAAATTTTCATTTCAAAATGAACGCATATTGTAGTTTTTGTTTTGTAACCTGTTCCCAAAACTGCTAGTGGATCAGAATTTTAAACATCGAATATCGTTCTTTTTATCAATGTTCCAAGTAGACCTTATAAAATATGCGCATTGTCGATCTATTTTCGATTCGAGAAAACCCTACCACATTGAATTCTAACATCAAACAACTCGTGTATAAAGGGAATACTACACATATATATGTTGGGATCTCCTACAGTAACTTGGGTATAATTTCAAGTTAGGTAACTTGCATAGATCTAAACCGTTAAAATTGACCACACTTATTTTAAACCATTGATTAAAGAAATAAAAAATAAAAAAATAACTAAAAAAATAAATGGCAACATGAGTTGCCGGTGACTACATTCCCAAGTTACCTTTTTTAATTTTTTCTTTCCTTTTTTCACATTTAGTTGTCTTTCCATATTTTAACCTTTCATTTTTTAATTCTTATTGAATTAGAAGTGTTACGTAAGGCTTCCGTAATAACTTAGCTCTTTACGTAACACGACGTTAATACTCATTACGTAAAGAGACCTTCTATTACGTAAGGCTTCCGTAATGATATTTTACAACTGTTACGTAAAATACACATTCACTACGTAAAGGTTATGGAATGATAGTTATTTCTTACGTAACAGTTAAATCGGAACTGTTACGTAAGGCTTCCGTAATGACTTAGCACTTTACGTAACACAAGGTTAATACTCATTACGTAAAAAGACCTTCCATTACGTAAAGGTTACGAAACGACATTTATTTCTTACGTAACAGTTAATTCAGTAGCGTTACGTAAGACTTCCGTAATGACTTTGTATTTTACGTAACGCGAGGTTAATACTCATTACGTAAAGACACATTCTATTATGTAAGGCTTCCGTAATGATCTTTTACAACTGTTACGTAAGATTATGGGTTAATTCCATGAATATTGTTTTTTTTATATTTACCACGAATATAGTGGTTTTAAAACTATTTACAGGAATATTGTGTTTTTTGATATGTTGAAAGCGCCGAAGCTCCAGTCCGGGGCGCCGCCGCTAGGTGCTTTTTAAAAAAATAAACTTGGCGGCGGCGCCCCGGACTGGGGCTTTGGCGCTTTTGAGAAAGAAAAAGCGTCGGCGCCTCAGACTGGGGCTTCGTCGCTGCCATTTTTTTCCACTCCAGCACCACCCATTCATATATATACTGCACCTTTCCTTCGGTTCTTCATCACCAAAAAACTGAAAGAAGTTCTGAGAGAAGCTCTGGTGTTGCTGTCTGGTTGCTGGGAAGATGGCTAATAACAGGTAAGAGTCGTAAATTTTATTTTTCTTGTATTCATCATAATGATTTTGTCCAGTTAGTAATTAGAGTTTGTTTTTAATGTAGTGGTTTTAGAAGATTTGAACTAGCTGTTCGGTGGCGATCAGAGAAAGTAGAAGACAATTTGGGTGTCCATTTTGTTGGTGGTTTAAGTTTCCAGATGACTATTCCATCCAGGGTGAACTATCAGAAACTTTGTGATCATCTAATTCGGAGAATACGGATTAGAGACGAAACAGTACAAGATAGTGTTGTGATTACAGGTTTCACCTACTGTCTTCCAGAATGGCAGAATGGTGTTTTATTTCATTATGCAATGCCTATTGTCGATGATGATAGCTTAAATGTGCTTTGGAATTTTATGGCACAAAATCCTTATTGTTTGGGTGCTGAGATACATGCTGAGCTCAGTGAGGATCGGGATGGAGAGGAAGACGATGATGACGGTGATGATACATGGAGCGTGCCATCCGATCCTGCCTTTGATGACGGTGATGACGAAGAGGAGGAAGATGAGGAGGAGGAGGAAGATGAGGAGGAGGAGGAGGAGGACGACGACGACGGGGAGGGAGGAGAACTACCTAATTATCCTCCATATTTTTACTTGCAGGGTAATGAAGAGGACGAGGAATTATCATATGCTGATTCATATGGCGTAATTCCAGGGTCTACTGTTGGTGGTTTTGATGGAGAATTCTACAAGGGGCAGATATTTCACTCGAAACAAGCTGCACAGGTGGCAATTAAGCACTATGCACTACAACGCAACTTTCAGTATAACGTGGTGGAGTCGTCACCTTCAATCTGGAAGATCAGATGTTTGATGCACAAGGAGGACAAATGTCCTTGGATGGTGCGGTTTGGATGTCGAGATGTGGGAGGCGATTGGAGCGTGAGAAAGGTCGAGTTGGTGCATACTTGTAGCAGTACGACTCAACCGACGGATCATCGCCATCTTGATGTCGACGTGATATCTGAGGCCGTCAAACATTTGGTACGTGCCCAACCAAATCTGAGTGTTCTAACTGTGCAAGCCGAGTTGAAAGATAAGTTTAATATGCAAGTTACTTACAAGAAGGCTTGGTATGGGAAACAAAGAGCATTGGAGAAGTTGCATGGAAATTGGGAAGAATCCTATGATTTTTTGCAGACATTCTTGCGGGTGGTCAAGAGAAAAATGCCAACATCGGTGATTGATTGGGTAAGAGTTCCTTCGACTCAACCAGGTCATTCGATATTTCAGCGAGTATTTTGGGCTTATGGACCTTGTATAGATGGATTCAAGTATTGTCCAGGCGTCATGGTTGTTGATGAGACATTTCTTACTGGGAAGTATAAAGGAGTGCTACTCATGGCGAGCTCATTTGATGGCCGGAAGAAGATTTTTCCAATTGCATTTGCCATAGTGGAGAGTGAGAATACTGATAGTTGGCCATGGTTCATACGTCACGTTCAGGGTTTGACTGATCGAAATGATGTATGCATCATCTCAGATAGACATGCAGGACTCTATGAAGCCATGAATAACATCGGAAGAGGTTGGGAGTGGAGGTGGTGCATGCGACACTATGCAAGCAATTTGCAAAGGAAGACTAAAAGCAGAATTATGTATAAGCAACTATTTCGAGTCGGTAAGCCTTCTTCATTTAATTTTGTTATTTATTTTTAGGTAAGTTTGTCATGAATTTATCTAACCCGTGTGGTTGATTATTTTGTTAGCCGGAGAAAAACGCTTGGAGAAGTTCGATCGTCAAGTTGAGCAATTTAAGAAGGTGGCCACTGATAGAAATATTTCATGTGATAACTGGGTGGACCAACATCAGATTCGTTGGAGTTTAGCACATGATAACTTCAATGGTGGGCGTCGTTGGTCTATCCTGACATCCAACATGGCAGAAAGCATCAATGGTGTTTTCAAAGGTATTCGTGCACTTCCTATAGCTTCTCTTGTGCAACATACCTATTGGCGATTGGTGGAGAAATTCGATAAGTACAGGTTGGAGACAGGAGCAGAAATTAGGAGTGGTCCTTCACAGTACTCGACCTCTTCCTCTGCCGCCGGGGGTCTGCTCGTCGTCCGACATAGCGCCGCCGCCTTGTGCCGCGCGCCGCCGCCTGGGACTCGGGCGCTGCCGCCTTTTCCTCGGCGTTGCCGCTCTGGTTCTTGGCGTCGCCGCTCGTTCTCGGCGCTGGGATGGAGAGGGAGGAGTGGAGAGGGGAGGGGGATGGGTCTGGTGTCTGGTGTGGTGCGAGAGGGAGGGGGAGGAAGGGGGTAAAAAAAAAAGCTTGATAGCGACGGCGCCCAGGTCTCGGGCTTTGGCGCCTTTCAAAATTTTTGAAATTTCAGAAAGCGCCAAAGCTCGAGACTGGGGCGCCGTCGCTATCAACATCCTTTAAAACTCGAATATCTGAGTCTCGGGCGCCGTCGCCAACTTCCTTCCTAAAAACACAATATTCCTGTAAATAGTTTTAAAACCACTATATTCGTGGTAAATTAAAAAAAACAATATTCATGGAATTAACCCTAAGATTATCATATGTTACGTAACCATTACGTAATGCCTATTGTGTTTTACGTAATACGACCTGTGAAACCTGCTATAGCAGGTAAAAAAATTCAAGTTACCTTACTTCAAGTTACCGTAGGAAATCCCTATATATGTTATTATTTGACTTCAGTTTTGTGATGACTAAGCATCATTAGCCAAACTAACCTCTTTCTTGGTCGACAAACAGTTCCCTCCTTTTGTTTTTGTTGCTTCTTCATTTGCCTCTTTTGGCCATTAAATAGAAAAGCTTTGAGTTCATGAACCCACCCTACAATCAAAGACATCAGGGAGAACGTGTGGCCTCAAACTATATACATGTTGGAATATGCACTATCATCATCCATTGAATCGAATTTGGGGTATCCTAGGAAAGGATCGATGTGTAATCAAAACAGAGGACAGGCAGCAAAAATTGAAAGCAAAACCACACTGCATGTGTCTCTATGCATGTTGTCGTTTCACTTGGACTTTTTCTTCCCAGCCGACAAGTCTCACATTGATTTGATTAGGTAAAAGCTCTAATTAGTCGTACCCTTTTTAATTAATCTCATGGAATCCGAGGGAGGAAAGGAATCCCCTCGAATTTGACTGAAAATTGAAATCATTAAAGCAAAATGAAGAAAGAAGCAATAATCAATATTTACTTTATCGGGTCCGGGCAGTGCTGCGGCTGCACCCAAAAAAAATTATTCTCATAGGAAGAGATGATATAGAAAGACAAGTATCTCAATATTTATATCCATTTTGTAATAGGATGGAATTGGAAGTTGGTTATTTGATCAACAGAGCACTATTATAAGTACTACACGAGCAAGAAAAATACAATTTCAAAACGAAAAAAATGAGGAGAAAATATGGCTTTGTTAATGAATATGAGTTGTTAATAATATAGGTTTGCGTGCAACAGTGACTCGATTAGTTGTAATTTGGGATTAGATTGGCGGTCTTGCTATTGTTGTCTGATTCACTTAGTTCTTATGTTTTTCAATGTTTTCTCCTTCTCGTTTTCGAAGAATGAACCATATTCTATTGAGCGGACTGTCTATTTAGTAATGGTCAACACTGTAGCTTTTTATTATATGTAAATTTATCTTTCTTATGATTGATCGCTTTGACTATATGAATCATCATAATATTAACTGTTATCAATTATCCATAAGATCGCATCTATTGTAAGATTTTCCCTTGTGATTTAAATAAAGGACAATTATCGGATTGACGAGTTTTTTATCTGATAGTATAACTCTTATGGTTTCAATATTTTCTCATCCTAATTTGACAACGCTGAATATTACCACTCAATCATCTAGAAAAATTCTCTTTTTTTATTTATGGCTCTGACTAAATCATCATAGCGATCTCTTGTTATCTCTTATCTATAATACCATCTAAGGAAATCAGGGAGGGGAATAACTATCTCATAACACAACTCATTGTGAGCAGTTCTAGTGAGTAACCTTATGGTCAATAACCATGTATAAGCTGTCACATCATCATTTAGGGAATGTCTCTAACATTTACCCCTATAAATTTTAATGGGGTACATCTCTTTCATTTTAAGTCATAATTTAATTTTTTTTGCTCGGATAAATCATATTAAATTTGCTCTTCAAAATTATATCAAATATATTTATGAAACAAAAAAAATTGAAATATTTAGTACCAGTTTATACCATGGTGGTAATGCTTGGTATTAGATAATTAATATCATACCATGTGGTATGGAAGTGTACCATGTTGGTATGGACATACTATAGTGTAGGATGGTTGAATACATTATTGTCGGAATATATGAACGATCATTTATCACATTCATCTTTGTTTACCACCAGTTACCACCCCTATACCAGGGTGGTATGAGGTGGTACATTTTGGTCCTCCATATTTTCCCCAAGAAATTTGTCGATCCAATATATCACGAATAACTTTTTCCTTCTGTGCAAAATTTTCAAAATTCTAGTTAAAAACGAAGGTGGTATCACAATAAACTCCTTCAAACTGTGCTAAAAAAAATTCGAATACGAATTAGAACGAAAAAGAATAAGAACCCATCAGAAAAACTAAAAGAATAAAAAGCTATTAATTTACACTCTTTAGAATGGGCCCAATTTATCTCTAACACCTAATCTTAATTCTATTTTTACTTCAATTCCTTTGAAGTAACTATTATCAAAGCCTTAATCCGGGCAGGCGGGCAGCCGTATGACTCCTCCCCAGCCTTCCTTTTAATATCCCCCACCAGCCACGAACAGTCCTAATCTCCCTCTTCTTCTTCCTTTGATCCTTTCCCACCATTCCAACAATCAAATCTTTTTCCCCGCATTCAAAATCTCCCTCTTCTTCTTCTCGATTAGGGTTTCCAATCACTTCCCTTTTCTTCCTTTCTCTGGGTTTTTCCCCTCTCGTCCAAAGTTTCCATCTTTACCATTTCTTCTATCAAGATCGATTAGGGTTTAAAGGAAGGAGAACCCACTTCCTTCCAATCAAAGTTTCTCGTACTTACCTTAGATAGACAAACCCCTTTTTGTTTCTCCCCAAAGATTCCTTCTTCCTTAAACCCACACCGAGAAATTCTCAACCTCCCCTGTTTTCTCTTTCCTTTTCCCCTGCCTCAGTCGAAAATGGCTCCGGCGTGTAACACCAGGAGAAGAAGAAGAGTCAAATCCATCAGCACCATCCCCAAATCGAAGCCAAGAACAACAGCAGCAGCAGTAAAGAAATC